GGGGGGAAAGAATGGATCCCAGGTGCTTCTGCCTGCCAGAGGGGCTGGTGCACACTTCCGGTGATGTCAGGGGGTGTGGCATATGCTAATAAGTTATGCTAATGAGCTCCTGCAGCTCTTTTTCTACGAAATGACCCCTGCCCAGAATTTGTTGGCCTTAAAGGTGTCGATGCACACACAAGAGCTTATACCCAGAATTAAACCTTGCTGGTCTTAAAAGTTCCCCTGGAGTCAAACGTTCTCCTGCTCCTTCAGTCCAGTGCAGCCGCCCATCTGAATCTATCCCCATGGCCATTACTAGCCTCGGGGCCAGAGCCAGCCATTAGGTAGGGTTGCCAACTCCAGCTTGGGAAATTCCTGGAGATTCAGAGACAGTACTTTCAATTTGTCTTAGGCTGGGTGGTATGCCATAGAGCAGTGATGACGAACCTTTTGGAGACCGAGTGCCCAAACTGCGACCCAAAACCCACTTATTTATCGCAAAGTGCCAACACGGCAATTTAACCTGGATACTGAGGTTTTACTTTAGAAAAAACAACTCATACGTTAGCTTAAGATGATCCAAACAAAGTAAGGAAAGCAATCCCAAATGCTTTCATTGACTTAAAATGATTTGGCAGAGAATTCGACACTTTAATGATGGTCTGGGCCTGGCTGGGGCGATGGCACGCGTGCCCACAGAGAGGGCTCTGAGTGCCACCTCTGGCACCCGTGCCATAGGTTCGCCACCACTCATAGAGTCTGCCCTCCAAAGCATCCGTTTTCTCCAGGGGAACTGATCTCTCGTCTGGAGATCAGTTGTCATTCGGGGAGAACAGGGCCCACCTGGAGGTTCAAAAAACAAATGTATACACTGCAAAAACCTTATTTATAAGTTAAAGTGTTCTATAGGTTCCATTGTACACCTTGAGAAAGACAGGATTGTCAGCTGCTATGATTGTCAGCTGCTTAATGGGAATTTTGTAGGACCAGCAACAAACATCAATTTAAACTTCAATGTAACCACAAAAGGAAACTTCCCCCTTTAGAAGACTTTCAAGCAAGGAGAAGCGGGGGTACAATTCTAGAAACTCCCATTGGGGTTGATTGTGTTCTTGGGGGGGGAAAGAGCAGTTTCTGTCAGAGCTCTCTCAGCCCCACCTACCTCACAGGGTGTCTGTTGTGGGGAGGGGAGGGGAGGGGAGGGGAAATGAGTTTGTAAGCCGCTCTGAGACACCTTTGGATAGTGAAGGGCCGGGCGGGGGATGAATCCAATCTCTTCTCTTCTTCTTCTAAAAAGGATGTAAAGTGACTGGTAGCTATTAGATTGTACAAATTCTTGAGATTGCATGTAATGGATATATACCTGATTTAGAATATTATGAATAATACACAATGCACTTTATAAGATGGAACCTATAGAACACTTTAACTTATAAATAAGGTTTTTGCAGTGTATATTTTTGTTGTTTGACTCTTCTAACACTGCAGCTCGAGTTTCCCCACCTGGGGGTTGGCAAGCCTACTTATTAGGTGGGACTGACTATTTCCAGGTGGGGCAAACTAGTACTAGAATTGGGGTGATGGTGGTGCACTCAATGCTCGCTCCACCTTGGCTTCAGTCCTGTGGACGACACTGGCCATAGGGTTGGGGCGCATGGGCCTCATGAGTAGCCAGCAACCACCAAGAGCCTCAGTTTCTTCCAAGACCAACCTTTGCACTACAGTGTTTAAAAGCACCCCAACTGAGTGTTTCATCAAAGTATTGAGCTCCCTTGCCATAGCTCAGTGGTAGAGCATCTGTTTGGCATGCAGGAGTTCTCAGGTTCAATCCCCGACATTTCCAGCAAAAAGGACCAGGCAGTAGATGAGGACGACGAAGAGGAGGAGGAGACTGGATTTATACCCCACCCTTCACTACCTGAAAGAGTCTCAGAGCGGCTTACAATCTCTTTTCCCTTCCCCTCCCCACAACAGACACCCAGTGAGGTAGGTGGGGCTGCGAGAGCTCTGACAGAAACTGCTCCTGAGAGAACAGCTCTGAGAGAACTGTGGCTTGCCCAAGGTCACACCAGCAGTTGCATGTGGAGAAGTGGGGAATCGAACCCGGTTTGAGCCAGTTTGGTGTAGTAGTTAAGTGCACCGACTCTAATCTGGGAGAACCACTCCTCCACTCGCAGCTGCTGGATGACCTTGGGCAAGCCATATCAGAGATGTTCTCTCAAGAGCTGTCCTCGAAAGAGCTCTTTCAGCCCCATCTACCTCACAGGGTGTCTGTTGTGGGGAGGGGAAGGGAAAGGAGTTTGTAAGCCGCTCTGAGACCCCGAGTGAAGAGCAGGGTATAAATCCAATCTCCTCCTCCTCCTCTTCTTCTTT